ACTAAGGCCATTTTTACTCATTAAAGCAGCAGCATCTTTAATGAACCTGGGGGTGGGGGGGGTGAGGAGAAGCTTTTTTCAAAGTCATTTTCCTAGCACACATAATCTTATTTTTTTTAAAAAAAAAAATCAATCCCGTATTTGTTTTAAACTTTTCTCTTTTTTTCAGCACTGCTATTTCTAAACTCTGCTTCTTGCAACTTCTAAGCTCTGGGGCCTTCTAATCAGTTTTGCAGGGATATTTTCCGGATCCAGTCCTTCATCCAACTTATGAAAACAGCCGTGGACAGTCATGTTGCAAGCGTCACCCCTTTTTCATCCCTGCATGGAATATCGCAACGCACAAAAGAGGCTGGGCTTCTGTCCATCAATGCAACATTATTTACATCATCCACTCCTCCGTTCTCAAGTCATCCTGAGTCTGGGGTCTCTTGATGGCCCTCAGTCTCTAAATCAGGGCTCTCCAACCTTGGCAACTTTGAGACTTGTGGACTTCAACTCCCAGAGTTCCTCAGCCAGCTGGCTGAGGAATTCTGGGAGTTGAAGTCCACAAGTCTCAAAGTTGCCAAGGTTGGAGAGCCCTGCTCTAAATCACTGGAGTGTCCCACATCCTGACAACAGCTGGGGCAGAGATTGAATTGATCAGCCTACTAGTCCTCAACTTTTTCCCCATAAGAACCAAGGTCTCATCACTGGATGCTTTCACGAACCTTCACACAAGCCATTTACACTCTTAAGAGTTGATCACTGATGACGTTACCTAATTGGGTAATGAAACATCTGCAAGAAAACCACCAAACTCAAACAGCACCAAGGAGTCCACGCTCTTTCTTAGCCACACCAGGCACTGATTCATACTTGGGCTGCCACATTCTAACTGCTGAAGGGTGCAAAACGCACCGTTTCACATTTGTGTCACACAAAAGTGCCACTATTTGGAAGAAGAGACTGTTTCATTGAACAAGGGCGCCTGCGAAGGAAACTGAACTGCAACTAACGAAATCATGCCAAATATGTTTCAAATATTTTCTTTCCATTCCCCGTGAATCACAAGATCATTTCTACAAACTACAGATCGGGAAACACTAAGAACCGTAAGTATAATTAGGAATGTTGTTTTTCTCAGCTGTTGTTGTGTTTTAAAAAAAGAAGACTTTTCTCACCCACAGCAAAAAAAACAAAAAAAAACAAATTAGAATTAGCAAGATAAGAAATCTTGTGGGCATCACATAGCAACATGATTCAAAACTGGTATGATTTTGATCACAATGTCAGGATAATCCTGTTTAAAACAAGACAGCGATGCCAAGCAAGATAAATAAAACCATAGCAGTCATCACAATTCTCTTGAAATGTTTATTCTAACAGATCAATTGTTCTCATTAACAAAACGCACATGAGGTGATCAGGGAACTTTCCGCACTGATTCCTAAGCAGAAAAACTAGAAGGACACGGGAGCCCATTTGAAGCTAAAGACACACACACACACACACACACACACACACACACACATGGGACAATTTCAGATCAGAATGACAGCACCGTAAAAACCGTGTCGTGGCCTGTGTGGAAGTTACCTACAGAAAGTAACCTCTCACGCCAAGAGTCTTCCTCCCGTTCTAAAGCAATTCTACTGATCAAGGTTTCAGCCATTCTCCACCGGAGTGTTTATCCTGCCAGATCCGTCTTGAGAACTTGGGATTTTGAGCAGGGGCTGCCACAGAGGAGAAGAGGAAGGGGTCGACCTATCCTCCAAAGCACCAGAAGGCAGGACCGGAAGCAATGGACGGAAACCGATCACAGAGCGAAGCAACCTGGAATTAAGGAGAACATTCTTGACAGAACAATTAGCCAGTGGAACAGCTGGCCTCCAGACGTTGTGGGTGCTCCATCACTGGAGGTTTTGAAGAATGGAGTGGACAGCCATTTGTCTGAAATGGCACAGGGTTTCCTGCCTGAGCAAGGGGTTGGACTAGAAGACCTCCAAGGTCCCCTCCAACTCTGTTATTCTATAATTCCGATTTGCCGGACATCGACTAACCTTAGAAATGAACTAAACTCATTAAAAGCAAGAGCCTCTTAAGGAAGCTAAACTGGATTCGGAGCTTCTCCGTGCCTATCATGTACCTCAAGTGGATTTGCCCATGATTTAAACAGGGCTTATTTCAAACAAATCATAGTTAGTTCATCCCTACAGCTTTAGATTTAAGAACTGCAGTTAGCCACAAAGGAAAAGCTACCATCCAAATCTGCTCAAACCTCCCTGGTTGAAGCCAATTCTCCTGCTTCTTCCCTATTTCTTTCCCTTTGGCTGTAAGCGTTTGTGAAACGTTACTTTGTGTTAATGTGCTGTAGGTTTTAAAAGAGCAAATATTATTTTTAATTGCTTTTCAAAGTCATATAATCCCGCCAGAGCCTGGAAAGTGGGCACAATTATCCCCAGCTAAAATAAACACAAGATGCAAACAATTTCTCTCTGTGTACAGAGGCGTGGATCTGCTCTCTTTGGTGCCCTTGTACCTTTTGTTTATAACTGCAAATTAGCAACAAGTTGTCTCAAGCAGCCCTTCGGTTGTGGGGCTGTAAATATGGAGGGGGACAAAGATACATTCCCTGCTAAGCAGAGTAATTTTCCTTCGGGGGTTTTAAAAAATAACCGTAATGGGCCACAACTGGAACCCAACCCCTTGTGGGTCTCTTAAGAGTCCCCCTGGCTGCGTCTGAGTCCGCCTGCTACTTGTCATGCACCAACCGTACCGAGTTATATCTTTATCTGAATGCGAATGCAAATTTGAATGCTTTTTTATCTCCGTGTCTATTCTGTGGCGGCTGAATAGAGTGGCCGCATGTTCCCGGCTGCAAAGGAGTTCAGTGACCTCCCTAATCATCACTGCCACTCTCATGAATGACCTACACGGTCCATTCTGTCTTGCCTCTCTACTTTCATTCATAAAAATAAAATTGACATGGTCTTTGCTGCAGGCTGGAGAAAAGGAGCCGGAGGGGAAAAGCTCCGCTCAGAGGAGGCCCCCAAAGACTTCGGTTTGGACCGTATTCAAGAACGGCCCCGCCATCTGCCTTCTTCTCCCTCACGGCGGAATACCTCCCTGGAAGATGCTAGAATCTGCACCACCTTTACTAATAGCTAGTACTCCTATGAGCAAACACAGGCATTCCTACAGAATGCCTCCTTTCAGTGCGGCTGAGTGGCAACACAAGGCAGGAGCTGTTATAACCTTCCCAGCCCTGCGTGGAGAATTAGATCACAAGCGGAGGGGGGGAAATGTTTCCAAGCCCTCCCCTCTTTTTTTTTTTTGCAAAATAAGGCCTTGGACAGCGAAATGCAAAGCTGCTGAACAACCCGCCTTAGGAACGGACCAATGACCGGCAGCCCCTGTTTCGCCCTGAAAAAGTCCCTGTTTGCCTCTCTCTGCCATGTCCTGATCAGAAAGTAAACATTAGTGCTGTGTCTGCGGCTGAACTGTCTCCTTTGTTCAAGCTGCTCAACAGAAGGTTTTCACAAAGCTAAGATTTATATCAGGCCTGTTATATTTATAGCATTTATGGCCTGTTGAGTGCAGAGTTTCGCTACCCTAAAACGTTTGGCCAGCTTTATTCATGAAATCCAGGTTTGCCTCCAGTGCTGGGGATAACTGCTGTCAACAGTCAGTCAAATTAAGGCTCTTTTGTCTTTGGGAATTAAGTCTAATTGTTGTTGTTTATTCTGGTGGGACTGTAACCTACTCACACCCAACAAATTGGTCTTTTGTGTATCCGGCTTTGACCACATTTTCTTCTAAATAAGTTGTGCTTGTTTACACACAACACAGCAGCGAAACCAAATATTGGTGCTACTTGTGTAGCGTCTTTAGTTGGTTTCATACACGGACAACTAAACAAACTCCTAGTAACGTAATACAAGGAGAAGTTCTTGGACTCTTTCTTTCTATCGCTAAAAAACCGAATTGAGAAGCTGAAAATGACTGTCAGCAGAACCAGGTAAACTCAGCCGGACTATTTTATTTTTACATGGCAAAAACTGGGTCTTCCAGCCACTGAGATTCCTTAGGACAGTAACTCTCTGCGGAACATTAAATGAAACTGCTAGGATGCACACACAGGACTACCACCTTAAGTCTCTTTCAACATAAGAAACCTGTTGAAAAAGTCCCTTCGGTTTCCATCAGGAGTTCACAATTGCTTTTATTGATCATTTGGTTGCATAACAAGCAAAGGCAGTGGGGAATCTAAACCACTGACTGCAATCATCCATTTTTCCGTTTCCTAGGTCTTAATATCCCAAGAATTGAAACCAAACTTTATCTGTTATTTTCTGCGTCATCTGAAGGGAAAAATGCCACAACAGAAGTACCCGCTGCTTCTTCACTTTTCAAACGTACAAAAAGCCCTTTTGATACAGAGCTGGTGGCTGCCATGGCTACTATTTTGAGGCCAGGAGGCACACCTTGTGTTGCTACTCGGGTGTACAGGCGGCCGAGCTGGACAGACTAATATTTGCTCAGGGTTTGAATCCTGCAATACCTGGAGGAAGTATAACTCCTCTACCTTCTGCCTTTGCCTCTGCCCAATTGGTCACCCAGCAGACTCTGGAAGGAGAGGTCGGGACTGCAGGGCAGAAAAAGTGGCCCCAGAAGGACTAAGATGCCTTAGGAAGGGAGCGGGGGGGGGGGGAGATTTGATGTTGGTGCCGGTGCAAAGGAGGGGAGCCCCGCCGCCCTTTTCTCGCCACCGAAGGCGTGGAGAAAGAGCGCGCAGCCAAACGCCTCGGCCGGACGGAGGCCACGCTGCCCCAGCCAGCCAGGGCCAACTTTCCGGGGTCCGGGAGGAGCCCCGCTTCGGAGAGAGCCCAGGCTGGAGAGCTCCGTCCCTCCATCCCGCCGGCCGTTCCGCCCAAGGTCTCCGAGGAGCTCTCCAAGTTGCCAAGCCAGGGCGGCGCTGGGCGCTTGAAGCGGCGAGGGGGCCGGGGGGGCTTGCTTACCTGAGGGCTGCCGGGTGGCCCTGGGCAAGCCGGGGGCCGGGAGGCCGCGCACGGCGGCCAGCAGGAGCAGGCAGAGCAGGGCGGCCCAGAGCCCCAGCATGCCGCCTCGGCTCCAGGGCGCGGGGGAAGCGCTGGCCCGGCCGGCCTCAGCCATCCTCCAGATGCATCGCTGCCCCGCCGCCGCCGCCGCCGGCCGCTCCTGCCCTCCGCTCCGCTCCGCTCCTGCCCGCACAGCGCTCCCGCGAGGGAGGCGGGACACCCCCCGCCCCGCCCCGCCCCGCCCGCCCCGCCTACCTGCCCCGCCGCTCTGCGGAACAGCGCGCCGGGCTCGGCTCCTGCTGCCTGGCCGGCCGGCCCTCGGGAGGAGGCTGGGGGGGGGGGGCAGAGGGCGGCCCCCGGCAGCGGAGAGCAGCGCCAGCCTCTCGGTCGGGGCGCCCGGCGGGCCGTTGCGGGGCGGAGCATCCCCGGGGGGGGGAGGAGGCAGGCAGAGCAGGGCCTCTGAGGGGGGCTGCCCCTCCACCTGTCAAGGGCGGCGGAAGCAGAGCAATCCTTGGGGCGTCTCTTGGGGGGATCCAGCCGAAAACAACCCCCCAAAACGCCCTCGCACCATCCCCGGAGCTTTGCCAAGAAGAGGCTGAGCAGGGATTTGGCCGGAAGGGTAGAGAGTCTCCTGCTTGAGCAGGGGGCTGGACTGGATGACCTCCAAGGTCCCTTCCAACTCAGAACCATCCACCATTCCCCGTGCATTTTTTGGGATGGAGTCCAAGAGAAACACACCTGGAAGCCACCCGTGGCCAAAGACACCAGGGGGTAAAAGGAGTAGATTGGGGGTGACTGTGCCCCTCTGGCCGAGCTCAACCCTCGGTGACGCCATCCAGGATTCTTTCACCAGTTCTCAGGAACTGACCTCCATTATTCCTTCCTTCTTGATAAGTAACTAAATTGACTGAGGCTGCCAGGCCATTTGGGAAGAAGCCAGAGGTGGGTTGCAGCAGGTTCTGACCAGTTCTGGAGAACCGGTAGTGGAAATTCCGACTGGCCCCACCCCCATCTATTCTCTGCCTCCCGAGTCCCAGCTGATAGGGAGGAAATGGGAATTTTGCAGTAACCTTCCCCTGCCACGCCCACCAAGCCACGCCCACAGAACCTGTAGTAAAAAAATTTGAAACCCACCCCTGGAAGAAACGGCCACCCCAAAACGGTCCCATTCTTCTAATCAGGGAGGCCCAGCTGTGATGGGAGAAGAGGCCGAGCAGGGCGGGGTCCTTTGTGCCCCACAATTGGGTCTTTCCCCTGTCTCAAAATCGGCCTAGAGGAAGCCCTTTGGGGCAAAGGCAGGTTGTGCCAGAGAAAACTTTGCAAACTCAGGAGAAACGGGAGTCCTGGAGGGATAAAAGGGTCCCAGCCCAGGAGTTTAAACAAGAGGGAAAGCTTGAACTTTTTTTTTTTTAAGTTATCTTGGCTTCCCAGTGCTTTCCGCTTTCTTTTGGGAGGGGGGGCTGAGAAGGGGGCCTGAACTGAAAGGTGCAGCCGTTGTGCTTGCTTCACCAACCTTTCCCTGTTGTTACAGGAAGGCCGGGATAAGTTCCTCTTCCTAGAGCTAATTTGTGAAGGAAAAGAACTCGGATCAGGAATTCAAGGGGAGGTTTTGGGAAGCTGCCTTGCTGGAGATATTCCTGGAATGTGGACTCCTAAACTGATTATCAGAATTTAATCTTAAAACAGAAGCCTCAGAGGGAATAGGCAAACGTTTGTCCTTTATTGGGGTGGGTGGGGGGGTGGAGGGCCATGGTGAGGGGCGAATCCCCTTCACCCAGAGTGCCCAGAGGTGGCAGAATTCCTGCAAAAGGGATTTGTTTTTCTATAAAAGAGCTTCCATCTCCGTTTTTGCCTGTATGAACAATCCTTGACTTACAATCATTTATTTGGCAATAGCAATAGTCATAGCATTTATATACCGCTTCCCAGTGCTTTTACAGCCCTTTCTATGCAATTTACAGAGTCAGCCTCTTGTCCCCAACAATCTGGGTCCTTATTTTACCAACCTGCTACCGCCTGCTACCACCAATAGCCTCCCACCGGCCGGTACGCTCCCATAGAGAGGGTCTCCTCCGGGTGCCGTCGGCCAAACAATGTCGACTGGCGGCCCCCAGGGGGAGGGCCTTCTCTGTGGGGGCACCTACTATCTGAAACGAGCTCCCCCCGGAGATACGGAGGATCCCGGATCTGCGCACCTTCCGTCGCGCGCTGAAGACTTTTTTATTTCATCAAGCTGGCCTGGCCTAAATCTTCTCCCCTTTTAAATATAAATTTTAAATACAAATTTTAATCTGTTTAAATTATGGTGTATTTCAAATTCAGCCAAATTATTTAATTCGTTTTTAATCTATTTTAAATTTTTGTATCTCTGTGTTTTATCTTCTGGCTGTTCACCGCCCTGAGTCCTTCGGGAGAAGGGCGGTATAGAAATTTAATAATAATAATAATAATAATAATAATAATAATAATAATAATAATAGTAATAGTAAAAACCCTCAGAAGGACGGAAGCTGAGTCAATCTTGAGCCTGGTGAGAATCGAACTGCTGAACTGCTGGCAGCCAGCAGTCAGCAGAAGTAGCCTGCAGTACCACATTCTAACCACTGTGCCACCACAGCAACCATTCAAAGCTACAAAGGCCCTGGGAAAAGTTACTTATGACCGGTCCTCACACTTATGACCACTGCAGCATCCCCTTGGGATCAAAATCCGGGCACTTGGCAACCAGCATGTATTTGTGTCCTCTTTTGTGACCTTCCCGGCTGGCTTCCGATAACAAATGGGGGAAGCCAGATTCGCTTGACGAACATGTGGTTCACTTAACGATGGCAGTGATTGGTTTAACAATCATCGCAAAAAAAGGTAGAAAAATGGGCCATGACTCATTTAGCAACCGCTTTATTCAGCAATGGAAATTCCTACCCCAATTGCAGTCGTAAGTCGAGGACTCCCTGTGTAATGAAAGGGTTGAGTTTGCTATGACATCAGGGGGGGTCAAAAAAGGCAAGATGGTGGACTCTACGATACGATCTGGTTCCAGCTGGGCTTTTTTGACCATATCCTGGTTTTTATTGGTGTGGGTGTCAATGTGCTGGAAAGTAAATGAATGTTTTACAGGCAGAGCAAACACAACGCTGGGCTAATTTATTTTTCATGAATAATCCAAGAGTCCCAAGGACGAAGGCAAAGCACGGGGCAAAAGTTGAAGGTCTAATAAATGAATCCTTTTTGGGGGGGGGAATAAAAAAAAGAGAGAGAGAGAGAGAGAACATCCTTTGGAAACATATAGGAGGTGCTGCGTTTCCTAATGAAAGGGAACATTTAATAGGAAGTTATATTGGGAATCAAACACTTATTCTAACCGGCAGAGGTAAACAAGGCCCTTCTGGACAAGGGGCCGTCTGTGGGCAGCCCTGGGACGCTCTCAGCCAGAGGCACCGCCGTTCCTGCCCCAACAGTTATTTGGGTTGAAATCGGTAAATAATGCATTTCCTTGGGAATACAAACCCCTTTGTTCTGAGTTTGTTTTCCATTTGCCTACGTGAGGTTACAATGGAGAGTTCCAGAGTTCTGGAACTTTTGAAAATTGTATTTTTATTTCTCACATTTGAAAGAAGAAAAAAAAACACCCACCTCTCTCACACTTGTGCTGCTACTTTTCTGATGGAAACAGTAGATGGACACTGAGATATTAAGCAAGAGAAGCTTTTCCTATATAGGTAATCCTCAAGTTATGACCGTCCGTTCAGCAATGGTTCAGAATTACAACTGTTGCTTGGTGCTCTCCGAGCTTGCTTGCTTTCGAGCAGATGTTTCATTACTAAACTAGGTGGCATCATCAGTGCCAGAAAGGAGGGGGGTTTGCGAGGAGGAGGAGGAGGAAGTCATCCTTGGTGCTCTCTGAATTTGATTTGCTTTCTTGCAGACATTTCATTATCCAACTAGGTAACATCATCAGCGCTAGAATGGAGAGGAGGAGGAGGAGATATTCTCTGAGCAGGCTCCATCTCTTGGGTGAAATAATTCAATAATGTATTAAATGATTAGCTAAATTACTACTTAACGATTTAAGTTTCCTGAGTATTGGGTGCAATGCATGCTTTTATCTTTTTTAATGCAGCCGCCTGAAACTTTTTTGAAGTGGTTTGGGTGGAGAACATCTCAGGAGATTGTAGCCAATGTTGGCATAAAATGAGATTAAGGAGAAATGTTTCTGGTGATGTTTGCAGCATACAATCCATCTTTGTCTTAATAAAGCACCTCTCTCTGATTCAGTGGCCTTAAAATTTCACTTTTGAGGCTCAGATGCTTCCTTTGACTGTTGATTTACTCTGACAGGTAATCCTTGATTTATGACCATAATTGAGCCCAAAACACCTGTCGTTAAGCGAGACAGTTGTTGTGAAATTTGCCCCTTTTTACAACCTTTCTCACCACGGTTGTTAAGCGAATCTGGCTTCCCATTGGCTTTTCTCATCACAAAAGGGGACCAAGTGGCCCCAGGACACTGCAACCGTCATAAATACGAGTCAGTTGCCAAGCGTCTGAGTGCTGATCATGTGACCGTGGAGATGCTGTAACAGTCATAAGTGTGAAAAACAGTCATAAGTTGCCTTTTTCAGTGCCGTTGTAGCTTCCAATGGCCATTAAATGAATTGTCGTAAGTCGAGGACTATCCGTAGCCCGTGCTCTGCTTTCAGTAACAACCAGCCAGATTCTCCTAGGAAGCAAAGGCAGAAGATGCTCTTCAGCATTAAGCGTTGGAAAAATAATTCTTTACTGTATATGTAAACTTCTCAAACATGGAGTTTTAGAGCCATTCAAGATTTCCTCAAAGAACAGGTGCAGAGAGAAGTCTAGAAAGGAATGCATACAAATATCAGGATGGAACCGATTTTTTCCTTTCCAGATGGAGGCCTTGACGTGCCAGAAACACCTGGTAGGAAGGAAGGAAGGAAGGAAGGAAGGAAGGAAGGAAGGAAGGAAGGAAGGAAGGAAAGGAAGGAAGGAAGGAAGGAAGGAAGGAAGGAAGGAAGGAAGGAAGGAAGGAAGGAAGGAAAGGAAGGAAGGAAGGAAGGAAGGAAGGAAGGAAGGAAGGAAGGAAGGAAGGAAGGAAAGGAAGGAAGGAAGGAGGAAGGAAGGAAGGAAGGAAGGAAGGAAGGAAGGAAGGAAGGAAGGAAAGGAAGGAAGGAAGGAAG